TTGATGATTCCTCTCATCATCGTTGTTTCTCTCTCTCCCTCTCCCTTCCTCTCTGAAATCAATAGAATATTAGAAAGAAAGAAAGAAAGTACAGCTAGGCTTTGAATGAATGTGAAAGTCATTCATTCATTTTTAAAATAGTTAAGCCGAAACCGGTTTGGCTCAGTGGATAGAGCGTCGGCCTGCGGACTGGGGGGTCCCTGGTTCGATTCCGGTCAAGGGCATGTACCTGGGTTGCGGGCGCATCCTCAGTGGGGGGTGTGCAGGAGGCAGCTGATCGGTGTTTCTCTCTCATCGATGTTTCTGACTCTCTATCTCTCTCCCTTCCTTTCTGTGAAAAATCAATAAAATATATTTAAAAAAAATTTAAAAAAAAGATTACCAGGCACAGTTCTGCACTGGATAATGGTAGTCAACGAAATAGTTACATTTCTTGGATCTGTTAGGAATGCTTAAACAGACAGAGGGGTTTTTTTTGTTTGTTTGTTTGCTTGTTTTTAATCTCTCACAAGAAGCCCAGGGCCTGTGTGATAGCTCAGAGATACCATCAACAATCCAAACTTTGTTACGTCAACCTTGGCGACAGCCCTTCCTGCTCCTTTTGGTTGCCTCGTGATCGCAATATGGCCGCTGCCTCTCCGAAGCATATCTTGGTTCCAGGCAAGAAGGTGGAGGAAGAGTCAAAGAGCGGAGGATTTTCTCCGGGCAAGATTTCGCCTTTATTTTGGGAAAAGTATGCTTTTCGCAGGGACTTCTGGCTACGTCTCAGAAGTCATCCGATGCCTACTCCTAGCTGCAAGGGAGGCTGGCAAACTATGTGAGCCTTGCAGCCTCTGTTGCGGAAAATGGCCAAGAAAGAGGTCGTAAATAGAGATTACGGCAGCCAAGCCATCAGCCTGGGCCATGCCCTCATGCGATTTGTATTTTGCCACCCAGCAGCTTCTCTCTGGCATCTTGTCCTCTCTCACAATTTCGGGGGGGGCGGGGGGGGCGGGGCAGTGTGTGTGGGTCACATGGTCCCTTGTCTCCCATCTCTATGCTTCCCCTGCAAGGCTCCCCTTTCTGATACTGTGAACTTCAGCACTTTCTCATCGGCCACCTCATTGTTCTCTCATCTCCTGTGACTACTGTTTTCTCTGCCCAACTTGAACCCCTTCACGGGGTTGCCACTTTCTCCTCGACTCTCTCCCTTGAAGCACCAATAACAGGAGCTGGTTTTGTAACAGGCTTTTCTTCTTCTTTTATTTTTTTAAATATATTTTATTGATTTTTTACAGAGAGGAAGGGAGAGGGATAGAGAGTTAGAAACATCGATGAGAGAGAAACATCCATCAGCTGCCTCCTGCACACCTCCTACTGGGGATGTGCTCGCAACCAAGGTACATGCCCCTGACCGGAATCGAAGCTGGGACCGTTGAGTCCGCAGGCCGAGGCTCTGTCCACTGAGCCAAACTGGTTAGGGCGGCTTTTCTTCTTTAATTAAGACTTTGGGCAGGCCCATTGCTAACATTGGCAGGGCCGGCCCAAGAGTACACACGCAGGCTCACATACTGTAAGACTGTAAGTCCAACTATTTAAACTTTATAAACCAAGCTTGCAAACCATTCAACTTGTTGGATCCTCCTGCCTTGACAAATATGCCTTAACAAACAGAAAGGCTCGTAAGTCCAAGTTTAGGATTCCCAGAGTTCCATGATGGAAACTGGCACCTTGTCTTCCTACCCACATCTGTTCTCTTGCCGTTTCCAGCGGCCTTGCTTGGCTGGGGCCCTGGATCACTCGCTCGGGCTGCTGGCGTTGACTCACCTTCTCTAACTGACCTTTCCCCTCCCTCTTATAAGGACCCTGAGATCAATTATATCGGGGCCACCTGGATAATTCAGGCTCATCTCTGCATCCTAAGATCCTCAATTTAATCACATCTGCATCCTCCTTCGAAATGTAACATAACACAGTCACCAGGTCTGGGCGTTAGGGTGTGGGTATTTTTTTTGGAGAGGGGGGGGAGGCTATTATCCTACCGACCACAGTTTCCTAGGGATTCCGGGTGGGCACAGCCCCTTGGCCCCAGCGACTCCGGCAGGGGGAAGTGAAGAGAAGAGTTCTCAAAAACATGGGTCCCTGCCCTAACCGGTTTGGCCCAGTGGATAGAGCGTCGGCCTGTGGACTGAGGGGTCCCAGGTTCGATTCCAGTCAAGGGCATGTACCTTGGTTGCGGGCACATCCCCAGTAGGGAAACAAACAAAAACACATGGGTCCCAGAGCAGCACTGCCTTGCTGGAGGTCTAGGCTGCATAGTGAGTTTGGAGAATCATGAGCAGAGGTGTTAGGACGCAGCACAGAACAGGAAAAATAGTTGCTTTTATTTTTTTAAAATATATTTTATTGATTTTTTTACAGAGAGGAAGGGAGAGGGATAGAGAGTTAGAAACATCGATGAGAGAGAAACATCGATCCGCTGCCTCCTGCACACCCCCTACTGGGGATGTGCCCGCAACCAAGGTACATGCCCTTGACCGGAATCGAACCCGGGACCCTTCAGTCCGCAGGCCGACGCTCTATCCACTGAGCCAAACCGGTTAGGGCAATAGTTGCTTTTAAATTGTGCATTGATACCTCCTTCTCCCTAGGGACCGGCTTCCATATCTTTCCGGATAATGCCGGGGTTCCGGTGTCCCCCGAAGCCGTGGGTTCCTAACAGTTTCCTGGGGTGCTTAACAGCGCTGGCTTTAAAACCAGCTGGTCCTGGGCTGGGCTGGGCCATAACCCCTTCCTCGCCGTGGGGCAAGTGAAGTCAGTCCCCGAGCCTTCACGCTCGCCTCCGTACTACGGGGTCTACCATCCCACCGGGTCCCCACGTGGCCCTGGAGCGAGGAACCTCAGCGGCCAAGGTCCCTGCTTCTCTTCTCCGCCTCTTCCTCTCCGGGGCCACTGGCTCTCGTCTCGGCCTCTCTGCACAGATCGGCTCTT